CAGCTATAGCTGTAGGCATAAATTTCTAATCGTATAAATTAATAGAGTGGAGCTTGCAGAGGCCTTTGTTTTACTCTGCCTTTTCCCAATGTTGATAAGTTGACTTGGCAGTATAATTTAATATGTAAGAGTCTGCTTACTCTGTGGGTAAACTTAAGAGAAAAGGATTCGAACTGATCAGTAGGGCACTACACCCAGATGTAATCTGCGCTAGGTCAAGCGATGCAGTGTAAGAGGCTGTGACTGTGACAGGATCTGATAGCTGTTCATACAGATTAAAGTATTTATTATTCATATTTTATATAAAAACTGAATTATTCTAGGCCATGTAGCAGTCGGAACAGAAAAGACATCTTTTCTTAATGTTTAAAGAGCAAGGTGTGGGATTCATCTCAGTTAATTTTACCAGCTCTGAGGTTACATGTCTCATGTAAACTTGTCACTTTAGGCTTTGTCTGTAGTCACTGAGGAAATATGGGCACCTTCAAAGCACCGTTAATCCCACCCAGCTCCAAACAGCTGCTTTAGGGGACCTTTTTCTTTCACCGACATTAGAGAGAGCCTTGATCACCAGCTGACAGTAGACACCTAATTTTTGACATTTAAATTTAGGTGGGTGAATTCTTGTCCATAACAACTGACTTGAGTAAAGGACAGAGACTTCAGTCCTCTGTACAGCAATCTAACAAACTCTCCTTGTGATGTTGAGCTAGACATTTCAGCAGATATTTTCAAAATTAGTAGATCTTGTTAAATGTCTGGCTCTTGTCCATCTTCCATTTCCTCCTCCAGGAAGTATTACTTCCCAGCCTCTGTAGAGAGTTTTTAAATTCATGAATAAAATGCAAAATGAAATAGTGCAGTAGGATTGTTGTTTATTCAACTTCAAGTGGAACCTAAGTGTTTCCAAAAAAAAAAAAAAAGCCCAAGTAAAATTATTTATAGTACAAATGCACAGCAGTTCCTTGAGACTAATATTTATGGTGGGTGAGGGACTGTTACTGCTGTGTCATTTCCAATAAGGTCATTTTCTTAGTCTTGTGCCCTACCTTTCTGGCATACCAATGAATATCAGGATAGCTTATAAGGCTTTCAGGTTAGAGTTAACACTAAACCCAGTATTTTTCTCTCAGATGTGTTAGTGTACTGATATTATTAGTCCCATGTCTGCTAGCCTCTGGGTATTTCCCTTCCCAGGACCATCATCAAAACTAACTCTGAATATGACTATGTTATGAAAAATACAATATCAGTGGGAAAAGAAAAAAAAAAACATGAAAAATCTGACAGCCGTATAGTATCAGTACTGGATCATGTGAAGAATAAGGACACCAGCCCCCATTTCATCCTCATTCATTGTGCCAGCTGTTTTCCTCCATGCTCTCTTACTCAAGAGTTTTCCACTACTAGGCTATAGCAACTAAAGTTAAATTGCTGCGTGAAATTCCGTTCTCACTGTTAGCGAGTCTGGACGTCTGGTTCATACTCCCAGGATGTCCTTTTATCAGTGCTGGGGGAACCACTGCAGTTCCCCACGGCTGCAGACGTAAACGAGATACACACATGGTCACATTGCTGTGTTCGTTCCTCCGCTCTGATCAGGTGCAGGGCTGCTCGAGGGGTACCGCCAAGCAGCTCTGATGACAGGATTTATCACCCTTTATATCCCCCTTTTCCACCCCTGTGCTTTTTCCTCTGCCATGTTCATGCCCTCCCAGATAAACAGGCTGTCCCTGTTTATTCCTTACCCTCTAGCTCCAATGTTGCTGGTTTTACATCCTTATTCAATATTTATGGTAGGATTGCCCTGGTAATTTGTGCCTCGGTCAGCAGTGCTGTCACGCTCGTACCCCTGTTTGTGCTGTTTCTGGGGTTGCTGTCTTGTTAGTGTAGTCGCAAGTCAGGGTTAGCTATCCACATACGTGTTACTCCCTTTTTGCTATTTGTTATGCTTGGTAATTTCTCACGTTGTAATTTTGTTGGTGTAGCCACAGCTCAGGTTCGACAGTTTTAACTCATGCCCTCGCACCCAGAAGCCAGCCTGGTGCAACTGCTGGTGGAAACACCTTCTCCTTCATCTACTTCGTCTGAACTACCAGAGACTGCCCTCATGGCCAGCAACACCTAGACCTTGAGGGAAACATCACGCTTAACCTTCTGCTTTCTGACTGCCCTTCCACGCTTAATAAGGCCACAAAACACTTGCACGTGGTCCAGCCTATTGCTACATCTCCTGGCATATTGGTCTGTATTGCTTCCTTGGCTACCTTACAGTGGTGACCCGGAGTGGGAAATGCTCATTAACCCTTCTGTCCTGGGCCAGGCGATGGCCTGCTTGCTGGTGACTTCTGTTCTCTGCCTAGTCTGGCCTCTGAGCCCTCTGGAGAAGCTGCCCAGAAAAGGTCAGTTACTATGGGCAGGCCATATTCCTGGAGATCCTTCATCTCCCATTTACCCAGATTACCACTGTAGCAACCGGACAGTGAACACTGGTTGACTGGAATGGGAATGGCTGCATTAAAAGGATCTGAGACCTGTGCCAGATTTTTTATGGGGAAGCTTCCCTCAGCTAGAAGACAAAAAGGAAAAGTTCAGAGAGGTTGTATGCTCCACTCACCTGGCTTAATTCAGAGCGGCACTCTGAAGACAACCTGCCAGCATACAAGGTCACGTATAGAAGTTTCCTTTTAATACAAAGGCCAAATAAATATTTAGGTGTCATGACGGAACTGCATCTTTCAGTTTTTCCCAATTATTTGCTAGGAAACAGCAAGAAGTAGTGGAAAAGCGCCTTGACTAGCATCTGAAATAGTTGCTGCTGCTCTTGCTGCTCACCTGTATGGTGTATCATCCTCCTGGGGCTTACACATGCAGTCGCGGGGTGTTAGAGATAATTTTTTTCCTGAGGTAGATAAAAAGAAACTCAATCATAGGGAAAAATTCTAGACTAAGTAAGATGACAGTATATCTGGTTTCATTTATCTATCGAGTATCATCTTACATTTCCCTGCCATCAGACCATCATGTCACATTGCAGTCTGAGACAGCACCTGCAAACCAAGCAAGTAAAAATGTAATTATGAGGATTAGAATTAAATTTCTCAACCCACAAAAAGATACATCTCCTGCCACATACAGATGGCTCTTGATATGTCGTAAGACATGTCACCATGCTGAGTAATAAGAACTATACAGTAGTTTCTCTGGTAAGAAAAAGAGAGTTTGTACCCTGAACTTCATGATTTGTTTCTTATTGACAGTTTAGTAGGATAGTAGGTAATACTTAAGACAAAAAAAGGAATAATTCTTTGAGTTCAGGTTTGAACCTCATGAATTTCAGCAAGGCCAAGTGCAAGGTCCTGCACATGGGTCGGGGCAATCCCAAGCACAGATACAGGCTGGGTGGAAAACAGATCGAGAGCAGCCCTGAGGAGAAGGATTTGAGGGTGCTGGTTGATGAGAAGCTCGACATGACCCAACAATGCATGTTCGCAACCCAGCAAGCCAACCGTGTCCTTGGCTGCATCCCAGGCAGCACGACCAGCAGGAGGATTCTCCCTCTCTACTCTGCTCTGGTGAGACCCCCCTGCAGTACTGCCTTCAGCTCTGGGGTCCTCAGCACAAGGACGTGGACCTCTTGGAGCAAGTCCAGAGGAGGCCACAGAGATGATCCGAGGGCTGGAGCACCTCTGCTGTGAGGACAGGCTGAGAGAGTTGGGGTTGTTCAGCCTGGAGAAGAGAAGGCTCTGGGGAGACCTTAGAGCAGCCTTCCAGTACCTAAAGGGGCCGACAAGAAAGGCGGGAAGGGACTTTGTACAAGGGCACGGAGTGAAAGGACAAGGGGTAACGGCTTTAAACTGGAAGAGGGAAGATTTGGATTAGATATCAGGAAGACATTAGGAAAATATCAGGACGAAATTCTTCACTGTGAGGGTGGTGAGGCACTGGAAGAGGTTGCCCAGAGAAGCCGTGGATGCCCCATCCCTGGAAGTGTTCAAGGCCAGATTGGATGGGGCTTTGAGCAACCTGGTCTGGTGGAAGGTGTCCCTGCCCATGGCAGGGGGGTTGGAACTGGATGGGCTTTAAGGTCCCTTCCAACCAAACCGTACTATGGTTCTATGATTCTATGATATGAACTAAATCCAAATTTTGAATGAGTGCAGGGTTTTTTTATTTTTAGCATGGTCCACTGCTTCTGGAAATACCAGTCTGCAGCAAGCCAATCATACTACCACAATAACAGTGCTATGCAAACAAGATTTCTGTTTGGGTACAATACGAAGGGTGAGCAGAGATTGTCCTTTAAGCTGTCCTTCTAGGTAAAAACAGTCCCCATGAAAACAGCTTAGACTGGGACTTTATCAAAGAGGGAGATTTAACACATCATTTGGCAAATATGTTTAGAAGACACAAAATGTGACTTTGGGATCACTTCATTACATGTTCTTTGTTTAAATGCAGCTTGTCTATCCTGACTCAATTACAATTCTGTTTCTGTAAAATATTTTGCTTTCCATACAGATTGCTGAAAAGAATTTTCAAAATGTCAGTATGTGTTAAGCACTTAATATTCGTGGGATCTTCTGAAAAGCCCATCTGCTATGCAAATTAATATCTAAGAGTAATTTCTGAATGGGTATTCATAGAAGCATGGTTCAGAAAAACAATTAGCATATGTTTACCTTCCAGTGATTTCTGAAAAATACATGTTTTTACATGAATACTTTATACAATGAGGAGTGATTTCCCCAGCTGAAGTTGTTCGCGTCACAACTAATAATATCAATATGTTGTTTGCTTATTGATGGATTTGAATTTTATTTGCTTGTTCCTCCACCAAATTCAATTCTCAGTAACGGAAAATACATTCATTGGTTTAATTCATGAAGCATGTCCTGTGTGATCGTGTTATTCCCCCTGCTGTGGGATGAGGTGACTTTTTTTCTCAGTTGCTTTCAGGAGCGCCTGTCCTCGCTGACTCTTTCTGTCCTGTCCCCTAGTGCACCTGGTGGACATCTGGAACGTGATAGAAGCCTTGCGGGAAAATGCACTGAACAACCTGGATCCCACCATCGAACTGAATGTGGCTCGCCTGGAAGCTGTGATTTCAACTATCTTCTACCAGCTCAACAAACGGATGCCAACAACCCACCAGATCAACGTGGAGCAATCCATCAGCTTGCTGCTCAACTTCTTGCTAGCAGCCTTTGATCTGTAAGTCTGCCTTTCTCAGCCACGTGTGCTTCCCTCCTCTCCCGACTGGTGAAAGGGTTTTACTTGCTCTGGAAATATCTTTGGAAAACAATTGAACAAGCTAAATTGTGACCCAAATAATGAGCATGTGAATAGTGCTAACTAGGGAGAGAACCTAAATTAAGGACCTCTGCTTTCCTTTCTGTCGAGCCAAATTCAGCAGAACTGTGTTTTCATCCAGTTACTCAAACTTGTTCCAGTTTATATCAAAGAAGAATTATCTACAGAAACAAATTTACATCCACTTCTAATTTGCCTTGTTATTTATTGACACATCAGTGGCTGACACCACTGCAATGCCTCTGCAGCAGTGCCATGGGTTAATAGCTCATTATTTTGAAAGAGCTCATTTTCCTGCAAGTTCTTGCAGCTGTAAGCTATTTTTTTTTCTGGCTCATGCCAGTGCAGCATGATTTTGAGACCATGACAGAAATAGAATAAAGACCTGGAGGTGATGAAATTCATGTTGTTTGTTACTGCATGGGACCCGTATTACAAAAAGGACAAGTTTGAGATAGAGCAAACCACTTACCTTAACGAGCATACTATGTATGCATATTACAGTTTCTGTATATATAGTCATCAACCTGTACTGCAATATTTGCAATCCTCAAAACTGAGTTATTGGAGAACAGTGGTTAAGTCTGACAGATGCAGATGACTTATTGCCTCTTTAGGGCTTATATTTTGAAAATTCACCAGCTGAAAACATTGGCCATGGCACATTAAAATAAGGATGATGCCCATCTCCCCCTCCCTCTTTCTTTTGCTTGAGGGCCTCAGTGCTGGGTGTCACTGAGCACCTTTGGGAGCCAGGGGCTCGGTCACCATGGCAACGGGAAGAAAAAGTAGATGTTCCACTTGCCAAGGCTGCGCCCAGCCTCCCCTCTGGCCTCTCCAAGGGGAAGAAAAAGAAGCCAGTCTGTTGTGAAACCGTAGCCTTCAGGAATATTTTTCTCCCTTCAAGAGCAGTAAAAGAGGGAACAGGCATTTTAATTTATACCGTTGTGGCTGTGACAAGAACACTAAAGGATGGTGAAAATGGCCAGACGTGTGCATTGCTGCATGCCGCAAGCAAACTGCTTCCTGGCTGGTAAACACAGGGAAAGACCCAGGACTGTGGAAGCAAGACCTGCAATAACGTGCTTGTTTTGTAGCTCACTGTAAAGGGGGAGAGATCTCAGCCAGACATCAAGGCTACTTGTGGCAAAATGGAGGAGACAAATTTACTCCCTTGTAGGGAGATGAAGAATGTACTTAAAAGGGGTAAGGGTTTGGTTTCCCTGAAAACATCCCATGTGCTGTGGGTCGTGACCTGTTTCTGGGCTCCTGTCAGGCCCTCCCAGAGGTGGGGAGGCTGTGACCCTCACTCCATTCACCAAGCAGCAACCTCGTCTGTCGTGCTGCCTCCGAGCAGGGTGCACAGGATGCGCTTCCCAGAAGGACAGAGGCACCCGAAGGACCCCCAGGAAGAGGCTTCCAGCTCTAGGGTCTGAGATAGGGATTGGGGTCCCTAAAATAGGGACCCCAGTTTAATTACAACAGACATCTGGGATGAAGTTCGGGTGCAGTCTGAGATATCAAAGTTCAGGCTTCCTGGAGATGCATGTCAACTAGATCTCTCTTTACTGTAATGGGAGTTTGGACACCTATCACAGGTACAGACATACACGTTAAGCATCTGATTCTCAGAATGTGCCCTTCCCTTTAGTATGGTTCAGATTATTGAAGTTTTGGGTCGGGTGTTAGTTTAGCAACCACTGATGGTCCAGATTTCCCTGTTTCTGGGAACAGAGGGAGGGAGGTGGCTCTACGTGCTACAGGGATGGTGTGAGAGCTTCTGGGGTCTAACCAGAGCTGATGTCTCTGCTTCCCATTTTACTCCCTTCCCTCCCCTTCGCTGCAGGGCAGCAGAAAGGTCCTTCTCTGCTGAAGGCTACAAGTTGGTAGAAGGAGGAGCAAGGTCTTTTCTTGTGGTCCCATGCTCAGAGGGAAGCAATGCATTGCATGTAGGGCGAACAGGGGTGGAACTGTGAGGTGAGATGAAGTCTCTTTCTCACTCTCCCCTCATTTGTAGGAACTGGACAGTTAAATGAAATTACCTGCAGTCTTCTTTGATGAAAAAAGGCATTTTAGTAGGTGCATGAATCATACTGAAATCACGACAGTCACCCCTAAAATAACCCTGTTATCTTTGATCTGGATTCACTCCTCTATTTCTTAGCCTTGTGTTTTAAGGTAACAGTTGGCCTGCAGAAGTGGTGTCCAAATTTCTAAGTGGCTACTGAGGAATTTTTGTTCCTGTTTATTAACGAATGTTAATATGATCATGTTTGATTCTATGAATGCAGACAACAACGGAAAAAAAACCCAAAACCCTAAAAAAACAGCTTTCTAAGAGCAGCTTTCTAAGACCAAAACGGTAGACCAAGATCAAATAGCTCTTCAGTATAAATGAGAAAGCTGGTCTAAGTGATCATGGATGGTTTTGGTGTTTGTGGCTACGTGGAGCGATGGCTGCTCCTGCTGTCCTGTGGGCAGGTCCAGAAAAGGTTGTGCAGTTTCTCATGTCCTGATAGAAATGCAAAGAAAGAGACTAGAGAAATGGAGTCTGCGACTTAACATATATGAAAGGACCACAAGGGACAAGTTAATGTATGATTTAAAATCTAATAAGCCTACCACAGTCTCATTTATTTTGTTCTAGTTCATATATACTGCTCCAGGAGTACTGTGCAGGCTGAAGATCCTCCCAGCTTTAAACAGAAGCTTCTTCCTTTGTTTATAGCCTGCTGAAAACCTGGCAGGTTTCTCTGCCCTCTGGCAGGGAGTATTCCCTCAGCCTGCAGTACGAATGTCTTCTCAGGAGCTAGAACCAGGCTAGCAAAACTTAAGAGGAACCACGGTGCAATACGTGGGCCAGCTTGCCCACTGCCTGTGCTGAGCTTTCATCCCTGGTTTTTTATGATTTTTTCATGGCCTTGGGGATTCATTAGGCCCATAGATAATTATATTTCACTGCTACGCAACCCTGAAGGGAGGAAAAAGTGGGGGAAATTTATAGTGTATAAGATTTCACGTGATGCTGAGTGTGACACTCCTTCATGCTAGGCCAAAACTAAAGTGCAACCATGTAAAACTGTAAGTCAACAAAATCAAAATTCACAAACAAAAATGCTGCTCCAATTAATTTGCCGTTAGTACGTGAGAGTCAGCCCCATATAGTAGAGGACCCCGACAGAGCAAAACCAGTGAGCAGAATGAGGCGGTCAGACTTTAAAAAATCTGGACAAAAACATGCCTGATTCATGTTTTTACCTGCACATTAAAATTGGGCAATAGCTTTTGCTTCAAGGTCTAAGGTGATTAACTGGCTTTATGAAAAAATAGCATACTTCCTTCATTGGCATGCAAGTACTATATAAAAAGATGACAAGTTCAAACCTCTCTGAAAAATTCATCCGAGGCTGGTGTCAAAGCCTAGGTGGCTAGGTGGAATGTCAGCCTCATTCAATTGAGCCATTTCCAAAAAGACTCTTTTTAAACAGACTGTAAAATATTCTGTGCTAGATCATCTTCAGCACTGACTCAGTATTGCAATACAGCTATGTTCCTGCTGCAAAGTTTAACTGACAAGAAAATAGCTGATTTTTCTCTGTTCCTTGACATACCTGTCCTACGGATGGAGCTGGGAGCTCTGGGCTATGAAACAGACCCCGTCTGGCTGGAGAGGCTTGACTTCTACGAAGAAAAGAGGAAATATTTGTGCCCTTGTTTAATCAAATGCACATTCAAATCATACTGAGTTCAATGCATAAAGATGTTCAGTATCTGTTTTGGAAGTATAACTTCTTGCTCATCCATCTATTCAGAGCTGTAAAGTGTTTCATTCCCTCTCTTCTCCACCTTCGCGAATCATTGAAAACCATACAGGCCAAATAGCTTTTATGAAGGAAATTGGCAAAAAAATGCATTTCAGAGATTTGGTCATTATGCATTTTGCTCTCCTAAATGAAAGCATTTTGCTTGATTCCAATAAAATTTCCTCTCTGAAACCTGTTTGTGAAAATGGGAATTTGTAATTACAGCCTCTGACATTTCAGAATTGGCTGCCCTGATTAGGGGCAGTAGGAGGCCCACAAGTAACCAAAGAAATTTCATTACTTTTGCAAAAGTTAATTCAAAGCGTTGCGGGAGCATCACTTCATGCTTAGTTAATGAGAAAAATCGTATTTTCTCAATGTCCATTTCATGGGACACATTTGCTGTTTCTAAAGAGATGATGTTATTTCTTTATAGCTTTCCCCACCATATGGCTGTCTCAGCATGGGCATTGCTAGAGATCCTGACAAATGTCAGTGTCATCCCTTTGGTACCGCTCTCCTTGCTGACCTGAAAGGCAAATTCAGACCCTGGAGCTGGACTTAGCTGTGTATGGTCTGTGGATTTTATCATGCAGTCTGGGGGGCTTCCTTGCTCTGGGGAGAGGCTGTCTCTCTTTGCAGCCATGCATTTGAAGAGGAAACCTTCTGCTCTGCTCTGATGTCCAAAAGCGTGTATTATTTTTTGCCCTTTTTTCCCCAAGCAGCGGGAGATAACCTTAAGCCCTGGCCATCATTCCCTTTCCTAAGTGCTCCATCGTGTGTTGTTGCTAAGTGCACACCAGCTTCAAGATTTGCTTTTGCCATCATTTGTGCTTCTAGTGCTTTTCTGTAGGGATCTGAAGAGTAACCTCTTGTAAGAGAGGTGCTATATAAAATCATAATATTTTCTGTCCTCTCCTATTTCCACTAGTAAAATTTATCTCTCTTTGCATTAGCCAGCCTAAAGCTTCTTTCAGAGAGCACCGACTTCAATAGAGATCTCCATGCTGCTGTGAGCCAGTGCTTCAGCATTCCCTTTTACGCAGCAAACACTGTGAGGCCCCAGAGCTGCCAGTCAAGGGTATCTGTAGCTTAAACGTGGCTTAGGCACAGCTTAGGGCACTTCTGGATCCAAATGATATTGGCGAGTCTTAGGGCCCATTATCCTGTGCATTCATCAGTCATATATATTTGTATATGCGTGTGTGTGTGTGTATGCCCCCACACACACAGCGACATATATATTTGGAGGGCAAATTGAATTTATACTGGCTCTAGTGATGCTTTTATGAATACAAATGACCAATACAAAATACAGTGTCAGAACTAATCAACTCAAGCCGAGAGATTGAAGAGATAAATGAAATCTTTACTTTTTCTGTTCCTCTGTTCTGTAACCATTTGAGTGTGGGAAAAGCTGATGGCTCTGGGGTGGAAAGCTGAAGGCAAGTTGATATGTGTCTGCCATTGAAGAACATAATCCTATTAGTAAATGTAACTAAACCTACTGGGAAAAATAATCTAAACCTGAAGCACTTCCACATGGGCTTCGTTTTTTCCTCTGTTTTTTCCATTGCCTCTTAATAACGCCATTGCTTCCACTTAGCATTTATTTTTCTTAGGTATAACAACTTGTTTAAATGCAGGTGGAAACCTCATGAGAAAACAGTGCAGAAAAATTCCCAAAGGTCTAAAGGGTAGCACGTACTGAAAGAATACAAAATGACCAAATTCTCAGACATAGCAGTGCCAGGTCTTGGTTTATACAAATTAGAATCCAGTCAAGGAAGGATGGAAGTACAGAAGACTGAAAATTCCTATGCTGTGATTTTAATCTTATGAAGCCAGTCCAAGAGAACATAATGTAATGAAAGAGAAAATGTGCACGAAAGCCAGCATTAAAGAACATAGTAAAGATGTATTTCTTAAATACTGAAGCAGTGAATTTATTTCTTTCTGTCTGTATCTCTAGTTGATTTTCTGACAAAAAGCAGAATTTTAAATGAGAGTAAAGAATATTTAGAATTAATATTTAGAATCATGGGTTACACTGATGTGGAACATGGCTGCCATCTTGCTAAGCTTACAAATATTGGATGACTGTCACTTTTTTAAAGCACGATGGCAACGTGTTCTCACTGATGTCATTAAACAGGCATATGGGAAGCCATTAAGTCACGCTCAAGAGTTTGGATGACAGATAGAAGTTGCTCCAGTGCAACTGTGGACTCTCAGTGCCTTATGGTGAGACTCTGAGAATTCCAATAAAAACCACATTTCACCATTTGGATGCCAAAAAAAAGAACATTAAAAAGCAGATTAACTTAGGAGAGCATGTTCATTCTTATCTTTGGAAAGGGACTGAACATTACAGCATTTTTGTTCTGCCATTCCTGTCAACACCGGACTCAGTTTCGCCTGAACTGAGAGGATAGGTCTTTTAGGAGCTGAGAGTGCCTTGCAGCATGGGAAGTCGTGCATTACTCATGCAGCTTGAATATACCAAGGTTTCTGTAACGGCAGGTAATCGCAGGGGACCGTCATGACGGTAGAGGGAGAATGAGGATAGCAAGAGGAACAATAAAGTTAAGCCATTGCGTACTTGAAGACAGCTGAAGGAGAAGTTGGCAATGTGCTAAAGGTGAACACAGCATCCTGAGAGTGCAGTATATGGTCTGATCTTCCCAGGAAGGAAAAGAAGTCTGTTATTTTTACCTGAAAGTGACTGGATTTGCAGAAAAAATTATGTCTTTTGCCCTGAAGCATACTCCTGTGTGCATTTGGGGTTTAATAGCATTATGAGCCAGGCATAGCCTCAACTTGAACAAACCAGGGACAAGACTCTTCTCCATATCACAGCAAATGTCCTTTTGCTCGTTCTGGATGGAGGTGTATTCCCCATTTTTCAGCAAAGTCCTTCTTAAAGGCTCGTGGCGGTCAGGTGTATCATATAAAAGGCAATTCTCAGGACTTATTAACTACGCAGCTTGTGCAATCCTTTGAGCCCTTTCTGCTTTTTCACTTTCATTCCCAGTGTTGATTTTTGCAGTTATTTGCAATCGTCTAGGGACAGAAGATACACCATGCACTTAGGATAGGGAGACCATGAGTGTGATAGGTGCCTTCCAGGGCTACCGTAGCACAAATAGCAGTAATAGTCATCACCTTAGTGTATAATGAGATAAGCAGTTTAATGTTGAGCTTTATATACACAATAAATCTGTTCTGAAGTCTTTACAGAACAATGTACTGATGTGTCTTCCCACAAAACACACTTTGATTTTAAAGGTCTTATTTCTTTGTATGGCAATCCACATACAGTGTGCATTACAGTATCTCCTGTCGATATACATTTTACATGGAAAGAGGTCCGTATTATAAAATGTGTCTACTTTCTACTCTTGAACAGGGAAGGACATGGTAAAATTTCCGTTTTTGCTGTCAAAATGGCCTTGGCAACTCTTTGTGGAGGAAAGATCATGGACAAATTAAGATGTAAGTCTTTTGGGTGACATTTTTTACCTGTTAATCATTGTTGTACTTGGAGAGATAACAGTACAGGTAGGAAAAGAGGGAATTAGGATAAGTTATAGTTTCACGGTTGGGTCTGGGATTTACACTATGTATATCTCCAGGTAAATCTCACTAAATGTTTGGCTGAACTTCACACTGGACTTCATATTTTTGAAGCCACATTGCATATACTGAGGTTCTGATGGGTGGATTTTTGAATTTTTTTTGTTCGGAACGGTTCAATTCGGAGTACACGTGTGTGCCTCAAGTGTACAACATTGTGAAACATCATTTAGCAATTTCTTCAGACTTCTTTTTAATAATACCTTGCTCATTTCACAATTAGAAGTACAATATATTTATGCATTACGTATTTCTTCACACATACTAATGCCATCTATTTGGTAGAACAGATTCTCATTTTACAGGATTTATTGCCAGTTCCCCAATAGCCAAGGCATAGTTTACCTGTAGCTGCAATGAAAGACTTTCTGTTTAGTGCTATGATGTCTGTAGCTGAGGTCCAGAACACCGTTTTCCAGACTTTTTGACCAAAGGATTAATGTCAACCTTCAGTTTCCTCTGAGCCTTCTACTATAGCCAAAGAAAACTGAATTTACAAATTGTTGTTGATTAGAGTAGACAAGCAGAAATCCCAAGTGCTAACTTAGTCTTCCAGATTTGGTGCCATTTTTTAATATATTATTTCTATATAGAAACTCAAATACAGTCTGAACTTAAATTATAAATTATAAATTGAACACCATTATAAATTGAACACTCTTTGTTCCCTAGGCTGCTTTAAGAATAGGAGCAAGGTCCATCCAGCGGAAGGCTGGAGTATGATGCCGATTTTTCGGGTCAGCAGTCCCAAGGTCCTGTTGTCAGAATTTCCCTTCCAGGTTCCTGGAAATGAAGCAGCTGACATGACAGCCTGAAAAACGATAAATGTTCCTTAGTCTATGATCCCCTGCTAAGCTTAGGATAATTTTAAACAAGGGGAGAAGTAAAGGCTGAGAAACATGGATCTCTGCAATAATAAAACAGAGATATTTATGTACATGAGTGAAAAAGAAAAAAAAAATGGAGAAGAGTGAAAAGCAATGCATTTAAAAGACCTTCAATGCTTTGTGTGTCCAAAACAATAATAACTGACTTAATGAACTCATTGTGAAGATTTAGATTTGACATGGTAAGCTGGCAGTGGGCAAAAAGCTGATGTTACGTATCTTGTCAAATTAGGTCCTTCTTATCTGATTAAATTACTGCCTCATACCATGCATCAGACTTCACTTTAAAAAATGACCACACACAATGAAGAAAAGCAGGAATATTTTAATATCAAAATCAGCTACTTTTTTATGTGTAAATCATTCCCTTTGTTCTCCATTGAGAGGGGTTGTAATTGAAGATGCAGTACTAGTGAAGGTTTCCATAAGCGGAACATGTTGTTTAGCACTTCTGGTTCAAATCAGATGACACTGAATTCAGAGCGAATCTGTAGCTCTCACTGAAGTTGCTGTGTCCTTTTCTTGTCTTTTCCCCCCTCAGATATTTTCTCAATGATTTCCGACTCCAGTGGAGTGATGGTTTATGGTAGATACGACATGTTTCTGCGGGAGGTTCTCAAGCTGCCCACAGCTGTTTTCGAAGGGCCTTCATTTGGTTATACTGAGCAATCGGCAAAATCCTGTTTCTCACAACAGGTAAATGGAGAGTGAGCATCCTAGACACAGGTTCTCAATCACCCCTCTGGGCAGGCCAAGACTTTCTTTCTTTCTTACGTACATGTGCATATTCACACACGGCTGGGTGGAGGGGAGGTCCACTTTGCTAATTTCTGGCATGTAGGTTAGGTGCCTTCAGTAGGAAGCTACTCTCTGTAGGTTCCCATGTAACCATGGAGGAGAGAGAGGCTTAGTCAAAAAGCGATCAGAGCAGGGTCTTAACTTAGATGTTCCAAAATTAGGGAGCCTGAGGAGACTAACTTCCTAATTTAAGCACCTAAGTTAGATACTTATATTTAGGTGATATAAATACCCCAAGACATGCAATCCTCCACTCCAGTTAGTTGTTGTTGCTATAAGCATATATAAGACTTTAATTTCTCTATACAAAGCTCAACTTCCATCGAAAAATCAAGCTACCTGTTTTCCAAGTGATGGTGTACACACACGAGAAGTTTACGTGTGAGAAAAAAATTGCCTTAAACCTTTATTGAAAGTGGGAGTCAGTAGGTATTAGAAAAGCCCTAGTCTCTTACAGATGATGTCAGTGAGATAGGATCAGGAAAGCAATGACTATCCTGAAGAAAATACGAGATTTTTACACAACTCACCAGACCCTGTAGGTGTACTGGGTACAGTATGTTGGGTGCAGAAAATACCTGGCACTTCAAAAGATCCCATAATTGGGGATAGTTGTCCACTTCTCCAATGGAGAAAGAGAGAATTCCTCTGGCTCTTGCTACACATCACACTGTATAATTCCATAAATATAAAGGAAGGGAAGATGCTGAAACTCGGAAAATGTTAGAAATAAAGTGGTGTTTTCCTTCTTATTATCCTTCCATTCGCTAACAGAATACTGTTGAACAAATAAGTTGAATGGAGTGGGAATGGTGTCATTTTCATGCAAAACAGAGTGTCATTTTTTGTTTCCCTCACTAGTCAATAAGCACTTCGGTCAACTGAAAGGCATTTTTGAAATTCATTCATTGAATCATCTCTCAGATCGCAGAGGAAGACTTAAGACAACACTTATGTTGAAGAATTTACATGGTGAAGTGACTTTTGATAGTTTTCTGTTAAAATAATAGAAGAGTGCTCTTGCATGTCAACAGGGCATTCACGCTTTGCATGTTGGACATGCTGTTATTAAAGATGAAAAAAGCAATTTCTTTTCTTGAAAAAATGTAATTCAGGCCTCATTTTCTATCTAAACAGCCACCAGAAATGGCAGTTTCATTGACATTGCATCCAAATGAGTGGACCAGATGTACTGAGGTACCTTAAGAAACAAAGTCTCCATTAGATGGTTTAGTTCACAATCTCCACTTAAACCTAACAAGAGTTAGGTCTCTGACTGATGTAGGTACACAACAGATTTACAAAGCTGCTGTTGTGCATCTGTAGGCAGTCAAGTACTCTTGTGAATCTAGTCTAGTATTTCACTTAAATCCACTTTATGTAATTCTCATTACGTCCTCACTAGGGATGAACCACAGTTTTGAAATGAGACTCGAAACAACACATCCTTATGACACTATGTTAAATTATATTTACAGTCTTAGTCACGCCATAGGTTGTTCTTTCGCTCTCTCATATTGCACTTGGCGTTATCGAAAGTTCGTATCTTGGGACAAGTTTGGCACTCTCTCTGTTGTTCTCAGTATGGATCACTTTTGCTTACCAGAAGCCTTTCAGCCCCCTGACACATAGACTCCTCAATTTCAGGGAAAGAAAAAATTCTGGGAATGATCTTCTGCTCGTGGTGTCAAATCCATTTCAGTTTGCATCTGAAAGGATTTTTCCTATTGCAGAAATGTTTTATTATTCCCCATTGTACTGGTTTACTTGATCAAACCATGTATTTTCCTCCATCTGTGAACCACCGCTAGATTGAATGGCTGTTGAAAATGGAAACAACAGTGTTTCTTCATCAGCACATTTATGGAACAGAAATGCCAGAGCAAGTGACTTAATGTTTCAGTATACAGATCTGTGGCTCGGAAAGGAGTTTTATTGCCACCACTTTCCCCCATAGGTAGGATTAATGTGATCTTATACTGTATTTGTATCAAAAAGTGTTGTTATTATTATAAAAAACACTTCTTATTTCTCTTTTTTTTATCCCAAACTAAAAAGATAGACACTAACTTCATTTTCTTAGCACTTGGCTAAGTGTTATTCCACAAACCTAGACTCCATCTGCATGTAGCGTATATTTAGAAAACAGTTTTCAGTTTCAACTTTCCCAGCAGCTGAAAAAAACTGCAGGAGGAAAATATGCCTTTTAAAATGTATGGAAATTGCTCTACTGTTGTCCTTTTAAGGAACACTGCTCTCCCTAATTCTTAAAATCAGTGACCACCAGAGAAGTTTGGCCATAAAGCTGTCAGTGAAACTAAGTTGCTTTATTTGGTGCAAATCAGGTTTTAAATTATAGCTGCATTCAAAAGCCTACTGCATTGTGGAAGAGCTGTTCTTGTCTCCCTGTCTATTCACTTGTTGGGTTGTGGGTTTGTTGCTAACTTACCTGCCTTCAGGTACACAGGGAAGACTTAAGGCTACTCAGGTCTGCAACATGGGGCACTGGAGGACCCTTCTTTTCCTAGACTTTGTTCTGCCTTTTCTCCTTCTGTTCTCGGTTCTGCTGCAGACAGCACAGACATTTGCTGGCGGCATTGGTCAGCAAAGCCATGCCAAACATCCGTGGCAGATCTCCAAAAGAAAGATCCTTTTCTGTGGGCTGATGCTTATAGCATAGGATGCCTGTTTGGAAAGTGGTGATCCACTCTCCATGGCTGGGAAGATCATTCATACAAGCAGCGGGTGGTAGCTGTTTGGACTTTCATACTGCGGGTATTGTGGGAAAAGTCAGTATTTCAGGGAGATTTAGAGCTCATCTTCTGACTATTTCTGTTAATTAAAGAATCAGGACCATTTTCGTAACTAGCCTGAAGTATTTTCTCTTCCCCTAGGGACAAATATCTTTATATATTTCCCAATATCTCACAGTACTTCAACCCTGAGACTGTTACGGAGTGAGGTGTTTTCCATTGATCACTCACCGTGTAAGAGAAATAATTTCCTTTACATCTGGTGACAATTGTATATAAATGCAGCACAGACACTCCATCTGGAAATCTCAGCTCTTAACAGCATTCCACAACACATGGAGATGATACATGTCACTTCATAGCTGCTGTTTTGCTTCCTCGTGGGGTAACCACAGTTCTTTAGCAAGTTAAAGCAGTAGCTTATGCAATCAGATATGAAAATTTAGCAATCCCTTTGGATATGAGGGCGCTACTTAAATATGTATGTCTATAAATTATATCTGCACACATTCTCAGCAGGGCTCAATATTTTTGCATTTTAATTTTGTTTTAAAGGAAGGCTCAGTTGCTGATTTCTGAAGGACGCTCTGTCCTTGACCACCCAGTAAGTGTGTACTTCAGTAAACACTTATGTAGCCAGTATACTGTGTAGGAAAGCGCAAATATTTATGGTGGAGATATCTCAGGCTTGAAATATCCTCTATAAGTCTGAAAAAACAAATGAACTAAGATTTGTGATGACTTTTTCCAGACACCTAAGAAACTTAAGGCCCTAGATTACATTTTTAAAATCAACAGGGATATTATAGAGTTTAAATCTCTTTGAAAGATAAAGGGGCATAGATCTTTGAAGTGCTTACAGGTGTGGAGAGTTTAGGAACAGTTGCAGTCCCTGAGTGTGTGCAAACAACACCCCACAATCAGAGCTCACCCAAAACTAGTTGCCATCACTCAACAGTCAAGCATAGTTTCTTAAATTACAGTAACACAGTTGCCGGTGATGGTCTGTTCTTACCCTAAATTTGGTTTGAAATCATACTCCCTTGTCATTTTTTTCTTTCGTTTTCTTTGCTGGAGTACCATCAGTCGTTCTCTGCAGTGACTTTTCATGTGAAAATTGGTAATACGTAGTGTTACCCTACATACACTTGTAGTCGTTATGGGGTACTCAAAACACATGAAAACAAGAAGAGTTGAATGCCAGCCTAGTTCACAAAGCATCTTCAGGCAATGACTTTAGAAGAGAGTCTTGAAGTGAGTGGGAGCTACGTGTCCCCAGCCCAGCCTTGTGAAGAGGACCGCTAGTCATCAGTACTATACATTGTCACTACTAAAAATAGTCTGGGAAAGCTTTGCTGGTACCACTTGTTCTTTTTAGTAAACCCGGGTTACAAGCAAACAGTGTCTGAAACTTGTTCCCAAGTGTTTCTGTAAGGACAAGATAAGATCATTTTGATATGTCTAATTACTGATTCTTTGTGCATGTTTGTTTGCTTGTTTGAGCAGAAAAAAGTCACATTAAACACTTTCTTGGATACTCTCATGTCTGATCCCCCGCCGCAGTGTCTAGTGTGGTTACCACTTCTGCATCGACTGGCAAATGTTGAAAATGGTAAGTAAGAGCTGCTGCCAAAAACCAGTTACAAGAGTAAACTTTTGTGTGATGATTTTCTCACTCTGTAGATGGTTTTGTAGGAGCTACTGTACTGGATTCATTGACTCCCATGTGCGATTTTCACAGTCAATGGTAAAATATTTAAAGAATCCTGTTGGTCATTCGGTCAGGAACATGGCTTAATTTTTGCTGTGCTGGGGAGATTATCCTGGTCATATCCACTCCTCTGGTGCTCTGGATAAGCAAAGAGCAATAGGACTTGGTTCATTCACACACTTACATTTGGTAAACTATCAAGGCCACAACTGTTATTAGCTGTGACATATGGCAGCAGAGAAGGAACAGCTTGACAGTTTCCGTTCATGCAGTATTCTTGGCAGGTGATGTCCAGTGCAGTGCAAAATACCAGCCAAAAGGTCCTTATGAAGGATCTCCTCCTAAGCCTACCCTGCCAGACAATGTACTCTGAAAAGGACGTTCCAGATTCGTCCTTATCCTTTGCTTGTGTGAAGGATGAGGATTTAACTGTGAGATGGCTCTTTCTCCTCAAGGGTTGTCTTTCCCCAAAATGAGTAGATCACAGATTTTAAGACAGGAAGGGACCATCAAGATCAACTCATTTGATTATTGCGCAGTGCATGTTGCATGTCCCTGGACAGTAACATCTTCCTCAGCCTTCCAATTGCTTGAGCACCTGGGGAGAAGTTCACAGACTCCCAGGTGTAGGCCTCCAGCCAAACCCTTCCTATACTGTTTCTGTAGAAGGTGCTGCCACAGTGCAGGGACAGAACTGGAAAGGTTGTGCATCTCATCTGACTGTGTGCACCACCAGCTCTGTGCAGTTCCTTGTGTAGTTCTGGAGAAGTTCCCCAGCTCCAATGCAGCCAGCTTCTGCTGTCCAGACGGACCAGCACTGACAATATTAAATAGGAAAAAAAACATGAGACAAGGAATGACTTTTTACTGTCTTATGATTTATCTGCATGTACTTGTTCCTAATGGGGCATTTCTTGCTCATGATCATCAGGAGGCAATGATGCTGACAGTCATTGCAACACTTTAAATCTAGAAAAAGGAAGATTTAAAAATGGACGAAGTTTATACAAAAATTTAAAAAAATAATTTTACAAGATAAATAGATTTTTTGTTAACAATTTTCCTGCCCAGTATTTTGCCTCAGAGGTTTTTGTGTAAGGGGCTTGTTGAATATTCCTGTCTTTTTCCTATCAGAGGTTTACCTCTGGCATAACTGAAGTTCTGGAACGCTGCAGGGAAAGGAAACAGAGGGGGGGCAGGAGGAAGAAAAGATCATATATACTCATCCTGTTAGACAATAAAAGTATTTATACCATATTTCCAACAAGAAAATGGAGCTGGTGGAAGGGAAGGTGTGCAGCCATTTTGGGGGATAAAAGGAGAAGGAGGAGGTTGTATGTGTTCTTGTACTGAGTAAATCCCTTTTCCACTGAAAGGCACCGAGGTGGGTAAGGTGATGTTCCCAAGTCCTTCTTGGCTACAGAGCCACCTATCTACCCCACCTTCCTCAAACTCTTGTCTTCCGTCCCTGTCCCTCATCAGCTTTGCACCGTTTCCCAGCCTAGAACACTAACCCTTCCTGCTGTGAAATTCTGGCAAGGAATTAAAACCCTGTCACACTCAGTAAATCATCCCAGGCTGAACCTTACAACAGAAAAGCAGAAGGTGCCTGGGAACAAGGAGATATTCGGTACTCCGCGGTAAATTTGGTACATGGTGTAGTGAGGAGAGAGGAACAGAAATAGCACTATTGCCAGGAAGGGGCTTCAATGTGTCTTGCATGATGCCTCAGCATGCTCAGGGACTTGCATCCTCATTGCTGGCTGCTTCCGAGTGGAACAGAGAACAGGACCGCACGGGTCCCTTCAATGGCCAGCTTTGCAAATCCGGGGATCCAAAGCTAAGTGTTAAGTTCCATCTATAGGTACCTAAGTGACAGGGGTTGTACAGATGAGACAGCAGTAATTAAGAGACAATGACATGCCTAAGTACACTTTTGTGCTTCGAATAATCAGACAGCTGAGTTTGACTTTTCCTCAAAGGCGCATCCCTTCAAGGCGCATCCCTTTAGCTCCTCACAGCACAGCAAAATATTCAGCTTCCTCCAGTAACGTAGCTGAGGGTGCAGTGGGTTTTCCCACATATGAATTTCCTCTGTCATGTATTCTGTCAGACACTGAACACATTTTTCCCTGCTGCGAGCAGGAGGTGCAGGCATCAGCTCCGAAGCGATGAAGGGTTAGGTGCCCAGTGTAGGAAGCGTTGCCCGTGGCTCAGCACAGGTTGCTGGGCAGTTACTGGAGTTTTCACGGGTCAAAGCTGTAGGCAGCATCCGATGCTGCTGATTGCTAGAAACAAAGAAGGGATTTGCTCTTTAGTTCAAGACGTTGTCTGTAAACTTTTGCTGGGGGTTTCTCTGCTTTGGCTTACGGCTTGGCATTTCTTTCTCCTGCGCAGTCTTCCACCCCGTCGAGTGTTCCTACTGCCACAGCGAGAGCATGATGGGGTTTCGCTACCGCTGCCAGCAGTGTCACAATTACCAGCTCTGTCAGGACTGCTTCTGGAGGGGCCATGCCAGCGGTTCCCACAGCAACCAGCACCAAATGAAAGAGTACACGTCATGGGTAAGGGAAGGCTTGCGCCTCGCTGCAGACTGCTTTGCCCTCCAGCCTGCAGAGAAGCCCCCGGCCGCAGCTCCAGGCCCCCAGCCGGCACAGGGAGGCTGGGAGCCGGGCTGCCGATTCGGATTGGCAACCCCGTCAGGGAGGCTCCAGCCTTGGGAGCCATCGGGAGAGCACGGAGGTGGGAATGGTCTTTTCTGGGTGAGGATCTGGGGTGCCTGTGATGGTGCGTGCCGCGGTGAGGGCAGCGCAGGAGGGGCTGGCAGCAGGGCACCAGGCTCACGGCAACTTCTCCCGTTCCCACAGGACTCACGGTAAAATCATCATTGGCTTGCTGTCTTTGGCTACGTGTAAATGAAATGATGAATACTTAACGCTCATTCATCAATATTTTCAGTCGAGTGGCTGCAGCATATGCGTAGCATTTGGGATAGTCCTGGCACTGTAGACTTGAGCGTGGTCACAGGCTTAGATCCACAGTAGTGTTTACTGTAGAGAAAAACACGCTTCAATCTTTTTGTTGTTAAACAAAATAATTCAATGCTTTTTCTAAGCTGAAAGAGAAGTATCAACAGCTACATTAACCTTCTCTGAAGGGCATCAGACCTGGGGGCTAAGCTCTCCATGGACTGGAGCAAAGCCCCAACAGAAGCCCTTGGTCACGGAGCATCCCAATCCTTCAGGGTTCAAATCCAGAGACTGGCAGAAAAATCCTAACTAATCTCAAATATTACAAAAGTATATTGTTACCAAAAAAAAGGAAAATTATGCATATGGCAACAACTCGTGTTTGTACAGCACTTTGTGTATATTTTTTAAGAGTTCCAAAGCTTAACACTTTTAAGATGTCTGTTTTTCCGTTGATGGAGCAGGCAAGGGTTAAATTTGACATGGTTTGCTCTGTATGCCAGTCACACAGCCCTGCACTGCATCCCAGCAGATCTGGGTCTGTAATTGTTTTTGTGGGTCCTAATTGCTGCTTGTTGCATAGACACAAATGGCTTGAGTTTCGTCTCTGAATAGGGGAGTGCCTACTACATAGCTCTGACTCCATCCCTAACAGCAATTTGTGCTATAAAATAATTTTTTGCTGTAGCCAGGGAGCTGTAATTATAGGTAGGAAGTAATTGGAAAACTTAAGATTTCTGCTCAACAGAAGACCAAAACCTGACTACATGCCTAGTGGTTTCAAATGTTTCCTTGTCAGAAACAAATGTTTTGCTTCAAGTTTGAAATTGCCTTTCTGTAGCGTTCATTAGCATTTGTTCAAACCTGGTTACCGTTCTCCATAATGCATCCATATTGAGCTCCACATGCAGGTTAAAGGTGTTCATTGGTGCAGTGGAACTCAACTGTTCCTGATTCAGAGTGAAATCGCGTTTATAATGAAAGAGAAAAAGCCTGAACTTTACATATTTAGGTTGGATTTCTGTGATAGAAATATTTCATTATTATCTTGATTACAGTCATAAGTCAATACAGGATGTGTGTGCACAAATACAATACCACTCCTGTGACGTTCCACAAAGATTTTTGAATTTCAGCACGTAGAACTGTGTTTTGGGGAGAGGAGACAATGTAAGGATCCTGACCCGTGGTTTACTGGCAGAGAAGCTGAGTCACAGAGAGCTGGCTTGGATTCCTTGAGAACCACTCACACAGCCTAGAAGACACCCTAGATCTCTGAGCTCTTCCTTAGGAAAGTGTTCAACTGCAAATCATGTCCAAACAAAACTAGAAGGCAGAAAATACTGATTTTTTTTTTTTTTCTTTTGGACTCGCTGATGGGATTTCGGGGTGAAAAGCCTGGTTCTCGCGCTGAGCCTCCGCATCTTTTGGCAGCAGTAACAGTACATCAGCCTCTTCTGGCAGGGCAATTCCCACTGTGCACATCTCTCAAATTTCCCATTCCCGGGCATGGCAGGGGCTGCGGCAGCCGCGGGAGGTAGAAGAGGAGCTTTATAACAGCAGCTAAACAGTACAGGGTGTGGGAGTTGAGGGGGGAAACACTAGCAAGGAGAAAGAATATAGCAGCCTTGTGCCTGGCCCAGGACTAGGAAGGAAACGGTGTGCCATACGGTGTATCTATACGGACAGGCGTACACAGATTTGTTCTGCTTGCACTCCCAAGATGGTGAGGTACGAGCCAGCTCCAGTCCAGGCGACACTAATTCTCTGCTGCCCTTCATTCAATACTACCTGAGGGCAGCAAAGAAGCCCTGCGTCTGTCCATATAGATACACCCCCCAAGCCTCCTCTAAAGGCCTCTGAAGGTAAGAGACATCTTTCCTCCGAACTAAGCTGTCTTTGCCTTACCAGACTCTGGGGGTGGGAGGGGGGCAAGGGGGCTGTCAGTCCCTAGGTATGTGAGCCCTAGAGCTTCCTCTTGTTTTGTGCTTCCTATAGCAGAAACAGTATGCACCTTACTTCTCCAGATTACCTCTACCTTCCTTGTTCCTCCCAGAAATCACCTGCTAAGAAGCTAACTAATGCACTTAGCAAGTCTTTAAGCTGTGCTTCCAGCCGTGAACCTTTGCACCCAATGTTCCCTGACCAGCCTGAAAAACCTCTAAACCTGGCTCATATTGTGTAAGTATCTGTGTGCTGTAGTGAAAGTAAGCTTTGTTGGAGGAGTTGCTTACACCAAGTGTAGATACTATAGCACTGAACAAAATGGGAGGCAGCTGTGGCATATCAAGCTCAATGCATCACAAGTGCAAATTGGCTGATAGGGTTATTTAGTATAAAAATGTTCAGGTGTGACTTCACTTAAAAAGTCAGTGGGATATGTTCATGTAACCAAACACTGGGACACAATGTTGGTATGTTCCCAGTCTCCTCGAGAGATAGCCATGCAATTTCATATAGTTTCAGCACTTTGGTATGTATTCATGCTAAGAGCATTAGTTTTGTCATCTAGAGGCTCTCAACTTCAGTGTATCATGGGTATGTCTTGACACAAGGCACCGGAGAAAAGGGAAGTCTGACCAGTTTTGTTGCAAGAGGTGTTGGAGTTCTTGCTGATTTTAGGGGAGCTGTGGCTTCACCCAGCCCTTAGGAATTATATGAGTCTGCATGCGAAATGTGTCTTTAATTGCCAATTCACTTGAAGAGAGTCTATTATCTTTACATTTTGATATTTTGGGAAAGCAAAAATATTTTTTGGTATGGTAGTTTGTGTCACTACTTTTTCTCTGCAGGAGTCAAGAAACTCAAAGCAGTATTTGTGCAGAGTGGGGAAATTATCACTTTGGATTATTTTTCTAAAGCATGTCCACTGTCTATAGTGACAGTTGTTCTGATTTTCTCATTTATGTTTGTTTTATCTTTGCTTCATGGGTCCTTAGAGAAAAATAAAAGTTAAATTTTCTATAGAATTCAGCAAAAATCAAAACATTGGTTGGAAGAAAGTTACAAGGATGTTAACTTGGAAAAATTACTCCAAAAATACTGTCTTTATTCCTCTTATTCTGGTATATTTCTTTAGAAAATATCTTTCTTAACCATCTTGCCAGGGGCTGTGACTGAAGCATTTCAGGCAGCAGCCATTAAAATTCTATTTGCGTGCTGTGTATCTGTGTTACTGGCCGCTGGAACTGTTCTGGTGTGTAATTATTATACGTATTTACTTTTCTCAGTACTGAATGTTTGTATGTAGCATATTTAAGGGCAAGCGCACGCTGACCATTGTGGGCTCTGTGACACCTGGAAGGTTCACCTAACCTACCTGCCATTTTAAGGCTAAATCACGCTGATCATCCTCCTTGGGTGGTTATAGCTGAAGTCTTTGAAGGCATAGGAGTGCTCTGCTCTTCAGACACAAGGTGCCTCTGGCAGATACGTAGCACTAAGTCCTGGTTACATTCAACTGTCAGTTAAAACCCCTGCATGTCTTTATGGAGGTATAATGGCAGGATGTTGGTTTTTTGGAAGAAATCATCCAGAGTTGGATCTGCTGAGGTACCCCACCGTTGTGCGTGGTATAAAAGCCTGGCTCTGCTGGCAAGTCAGTGATAATTTCACAGGGCAGGTTTTGGCCATCCTTAAGAGAAATGGAAAGAGGCAGGGACCATGAAACCGAAAGAGAAGCCTCTGTTCCCTCTTGGCTAGGGGTATGTCAGAAGATAACGGGTAGTGAAGACTGGGCTATTGTGAATGGATTAAATGCATTTAGGCAAGGCAAAGGGTAGGATCTGTTCCAAATCTTTGCTGTGAAATTAACACCTTCCTTTCTTCCTAACTATACAGACAAAATTTAGAGTGATTGGATGTGAGAACAAACCACCATCTATTTTGTTTTATGGTAGAGTTTCTCTTTATTCATAGATTGAAGGCAATATAACTTGGCAATATATATTGGCTATAATGGTACATGAGTGAAAAACCTGTAAGTTGTGGAGGTAGCATGATCTACAGCATAATTCACATAAATTAACTGAGGGGAAAGATATGCTACAGTACCTCATTGAGAATATCTTCTCGCTGATGTGATTTGTATTTTTAAACATAATGGAAGTTGAGAGAAACAGCTCTGGGCAGGAATCCAGGCAAAAAGGTTTTTATATGTGCATTAAATGGAAGAATTTTGGCAACAAAACAGTATCCTTTTCTTAGATTCTAGCTTAAATGGGGACAAGTGCTCTGCATTTCTATACAGCCTTTCCTTTTCAGCGGTCTTCCTCCACCTTTGAGTGGAACCAGACAGAAAGACTGCATTGGGGTTTTTTTGTTTTACTGGTGCTGCGCAAAATTTTCAGTTAAGCAAGAAACACATCTAAGGCTTGTCTAGAGAAGTAGTTATCAAGGTGTCATTAACCTGATGGAGGGGTCATTTTTTCTTTCTATACATAAGATTGGCAACAAAAAAGAAACACCAGACTGCAGAGATGAGAAATGGCATGGCCAGTGCATCATGGAGGTATTTTTCAAATGCATTCTGCGCTGGCCTGACTTCGTTTCCATCTAAGCCTGTGGGAACACTTTTTTTTTTGCCATCAGTGTGAAGAGGTTGGACCAACATGGAGCACTTTGCAAAATTCATCTTACTTAATTTGGTTTATTACTGTGGGTATGTGTTATGGCATAACATCCATTCATTGCATAGCATATTTCAATAGTATTAAGTGGTTTTGCTTTCTTGAGGAAAGTTGATTAAGTATCATCAGCTCACTTTTATCAGAAAGCTTAATCTCTCACTCCCAGAAGTTTAGAAATAACCTCAGAAAGATACACATTTATAGTCGATAGCTGAGTCTTCCTTTGCTTTACCATAAAGTCTGTTGTTCTTGTCTTATCACATCACAGAAGTGCATATGTATGTTTGAACATCCATTTGGTATTCAAGCTGAACCTGAGGGATGTGACAGTGGGCATCAGCCTTTAAGAAACTTGCCTTGGAAAAGCTCAGACTAGTTTAATATAGTTTTCTGTGTAGAACCAGGACACAAACTAATGCTAATAGCAAAGCCTTGGATTTCATAGACATTTGTACACAAGAGTAACTTTGCATATTTAAACAGATCAATGACCTTTTATGTGTAGAGTCTGTCCAATGCACTACTTAGACCACATACATATTAAACTGACAATTTAATTAATGATCTCTTTTCCATTTCATTTTGGCTGCAAAAGAGATACTTGGTGAGTATTTTTCTTCTTTAGTACACTTACTGGAGGAAGAAGCTTGGAAAAAATGTGATAATCTCATTATTACCAATCCTTAACTTTTTATCAGATCCAAAGCCAAATAAACAATTGTCTTTGAATACAGAGACAGTGAAAGGGAAGAGCTCTTTTGGGGGTTAGAAACTTTCTCTTCCACTCCTATTTTGAGATAAAAGCTTAGAGAAGACATTAACCTGAAGTGTGTATGTGGTGATCTGCAGAAGTCCATGGGTGCTACATACCCACTTTCTACTCAGTTACCAGGTAAAAAAGAAAACATATAGTAGTAGTTCACTTCTGTGCCAAACTGGCTTTCTTCATTTCTTACAAATGGTTTGGATAAGTGACTTGCACGATTAGAGCCCAGTGAATGTTTTGCAGATGGCTACTATATTGATTTGCGCATCTGGAGAATACAGAAATCAAGACAGGTCTTTCACCGAGCTTAAAGGGGATATTAACCAACTTGAAATCTAGGCAATTTGAAGTCTGAATTATATATGGCTTCAGGTTCTGCTCATATCTGGTTGAAAACCCTGTGATTTTAATAACATAGTTTTAGTTTTTCCAGAGTGTCTATATCTTTTGCCCGATCTTGCATAAGAAGTCCATTAAGAAGGGGAAATTTCTCTTTAATGGATACAGACAGAAAAGTTATGCACAAATATTTTTTAAGGGTAGACAATAAAAGAAAGCATAGGAAATTTTTCTTCTCATTTCATTTTTAGTAACAGCAGGAAATAAGGAATGTAAGAATAAAACTATTGTTATTAATGGGTCCTCTTAAACTGGATACTTATTTTAAATTTTGATTTGGGTGTTTGTTATACCAGTAGAAGAGCTTTGCAGTTAAACCAGTATTTTATGAGATACTGAGGGCTATGGGTACACCGTGGTCACTGTGTGGATATGGTAGCATGGAGCTTAGCAGCAGGGATAACCTGATGAAAAGGTGTGTGGTTTATTGGCAGTTCCCCCCTGCAGATCTCCACGCAGCCACAGCAAGCCTCCTGCCAGTGCTCAGCCTGGCTGGCTGAAAGCAGTGACTGCACCTGGACTACAGGCTGGGGAAAGGAAAACTGGCATACTGGTTTTCTTGCCAAAACAGGGGGAAAAAAATCAAGCAAGTTGTTTAAAACTCACTCAGAACACACAAAAGCATTATTTTCTGCCAGGCTTAAGTAACAGTGTGGATTTTATCAACTTCTGCTTGAAAACACAGCATCTTTAATTTGAAACTATTGGTATTTAAAGCAGAAGATGCCAGTAGTAGTGCTACTTTAAACAAGAAGCTCTCTCGATTCTCTGTAAATACTGTTGCTGATAGAGGGCATTTTTGTGTGAAATTAATGCAACTGGGTATTTTGCCTTTTTCTAGGCCCCCCCGACCTGTAACCAGCATGAACGACACACTCTTCTCCCACTCTGTTCCCTCAGGAAGTCCTTTTGCAAACAGAAGGTGAGTTCTTCTCCTTATTTATGGTGAACCATTATAAGGTAATGGAGGTGGTTTCAATTTTCAGTTCCCTCCCAGAAAAAAAAAAAGGGCAGAAAAGCACCCATAAAATAAAATCAACAGATATGAGCAGAGAAATGCCTTGGTCGTTTTGGACTGATACCCAGATATCTGGATGGAGAGCTGGAGTTAGGGCACTTCAAGCTCCTCACAGCACAGAACTTCAGTTCTCATTTGAACCGTTGTGTCCTCCTGAAACGTGCTCACATGCGACCTAGGTACCCTCCCATAGGGACTGGAAATGGGCAGTTGGTGAGAAGCATTTTGTAGCAGCACTGTGGGAATAGGAACTGGGATATGCCATTGCCTACTGGGAATGCATGCAGCATACTGCAAGGTATGATAGAAACAGAGAAAATGTGTTCATACTTGCAAGATACAGCAAGACAGCCTTACTCCTGTTAAACTATTCAGATTTTCATTAAAGGCTACAGGAGAGAGGGAGTAGTCGTGGAATATGGTCACCCTTCAGCAAACAAACCAGAGAAGAGTTGTCAGAAACATTAATCCCAAAGAGAAGGTGCTTGCAGCTGACTATGTCCGTTTTGGCTCAGTATTTTGACTGATACAGCCCAAATGTGTGTAGCATTTGCTATCTGTCTCACCCAATCTATGTAAGCCTGCCAGTGCACATAGATAAGAAGATGGCAGAGAAATAACTTCCTGCTGTATTGGGGAAGATGAGCAAGATGTCTTCCTGGGGTGCATTTTATTGCTTGGTTCCTGCT